AAAAATGCCAAAGGGTAGGGGCACCTGGGTGGCTCAGTCGGTTAAGCGTCCGACTTTGGCTCAGGTCGTGGGCTTGCGGTTTGTGAGTTCGAGCCCTGCATCGGGCTCTGTGCTGACAGCTCAGGGCCTGGAGCCTGTTTTGGATTCTGTATCTCCCTCTCTCTGCCCCTCCCCTGCGGTCACTTGCTCACTCTCTAAAAAGTAAACATTAAAAATTTTTTTTAAAAATGCCAAAGAGTAAGTATGTGGGTAAAAAAAGGGAAACGATCTAAGTGTCTGCCTATAGGAGAATCGTCATAGAATCAACAGCAAATCCATAATATTAAATTAGTTTTTAATCTATAGTTACTGACCTGGAGTGATGTCTATCACACTATATTGCATGAACATAGAGTAATATATGTTGTGTGTGCGTACATAGAGACACACTTTTGTGAAAAAGGAAGAATACGTCTCTAATTTACATGTATCTGGGTGGGCGTGATAAAAGAGAAGCATACACAACAGGCCATGATCGCTGGATGAGTGCAGATTCTTCCTAGGTGCAGTGTGTCACCTTTTCATAACGTTTATTATTTTGTATACACACTGAACACATAATGAAGCAAATGTTAAAATAAAAACACATGCAAATGAAAGCGCTCTGGCCTTTAGCAATTAGAGCAGCTTTATTTATGTAATTCAGACCAAGGCTGGAGATCCTCAGGGAGTTCAAGGCACTGGCGGTGGAAAAAAACCATGAGATCATCATCACATCCCCCCTGAAGCTGTCTCAGGAGAAGTCACTGAAACCCGGAGAAAATCTAGCTGGTAATTAATACATGGGGCTCTGTGTGCCCTTAGAGACAGGAATGCAAACACCAACTGAGCCCATCAGCCCACGGGACGCTGGTGAAAGACCTGCGAGCTGCCTTTCTTGCACCCAGGTCAGCCCAGAGGTGCCCCACACCCCACTACTGCTTCAGAGGCGCACAGCCGACACTGACTCGCAGCCTGTAACGCGCCCAGCTTCGTGATGCGTGCTGTGCGAGTGCTGTCACTTCGTCCTCCAAGGGGGCAGTCAGGGAACGTCCTTGTGATTAACCTGCTTCTCCCATACCTTCTTGTAAAGCGAACAGTCTGGGGTGTAGTAACCACATCTCATTTCCACTTCTCTGCACTGAGGGCGCTGATAACCAGCTCCTCAGATAAGAATGTTTCTCTCGCACTTGTGGCTTCAGCAGCGTTCCAGGAGCTGAAGCTACTTCCTCCAACCCTGGCACATTCCTGATACCTGACACCTACTGATGAGACCCATGCAGCCAGCTTGACCCGGGGCCATTCTCTCCCAGAACGTCCACAGATTAAGCGATCTCTGCTACTGTCCCTATTTCCCTCAAAAGCTGCTCCTAGTAGAGGTCTACTTTAGGAAAGGAGGAAGTACTTGCTTAAGTCTGCCGTGGAGTCCAGCAGTATACTCTGTTTGAATCTGGTTGTTTATTTGGCTCTGTAATTTATCAGGAGCCGAAGAAATCTTTGTTTAGATCATTCAGAATACAAAGAATATGTATGAATTCTGAAGTAGTAAAACATCATTAACTCCTACCAATGTCAAGAATATTTACTCCTGGGGCCGCCTGGGTGGCTTAGTCGGTTAAGCGTCCGACTTTCGCTTAGGTCATGATCTCACGGTTCGTGGGTTCGAGCCCTGCGTCGGGCTCTGTGCTGACTGCCAGCTCAGAGGCTGGAGCCTGTTTCAGTCTGTGACTCCCTCTCTCTCTGACCCTCCCCTGCTCACGCTGTCTCTCTCTCTCTCCTAGAAATAAATTTAAAAAAACATTAAAAAAAAAAAAATTTACTCCTGTTGGCTTTAATTCATTCTAAATCAAAAGCCAGAGGACTGTAAAAGCATACATTTCTATATAGAGGAAAGACACTGAGGGACCCGTATAATTAGGTTTTTCCACACAGAATTAGCCAAAGCCTATTTAGTATTTCAAAATTCTTATTTATCCCAAATATGCTGCTTTGGTCAAAATAGAAGATACTGAAAGAAATCCCAAATAAGCTTTTCAGTGAATGGTTTATGATAGCTCAGTTTGTCTTAACTCTACCAAAGTAAGTGCTTTCACAAGTAATCTTTCCAGCTAATTGAAGTTATTAAATGGTACCTCTTATTTCGCACCTTTCCTAATGGAAAAAAAATTCCCTTTCACTATAAACAATAGTGCTAATTAAAAGAAGTCCAAGGCCAGGGCCACAGATTTCCATACACAGTTTGGATTAAATGAATCAAACAGAATTAGTCTAGGAAAAATTTCAAGGTGTGAAAATAACAGTAGTTGTTTTAGAAACAAAGTGTAGGACTTTTATTAGAGTTCAGAATTACGACATCAGTACTCTTCAGGGCCAAAAAGCATTTCCTTCTATTTTAGTATTCTAAATTTAAAACTGACATTTCATTACTCTTAATTTTATCATGAAGTTCTATGCTTTCTTTTAGGCAAATAAATTACAACGGGAAAACTACATCCTGTCTGTTAAGCATTGTATTATAAGGAAGGCAGCTTTGAAATCCAAAACCATGCTAGAAATCTCACCAGATATCTTTTTCCTATCTGGTTTCAAGAACTCCAAACTATACTCAGAGCTGTGAAGGATGGTTGTTAGTACTCTGGATAACCTCAGATCCTTCTAGCACTCAAAGAAAACAAAAACTCCTTGATCTCATGTCTCCAGCAAGCTGGTCTCCAAAGAATATTAATCTGAGGTGTTTCCATCCTTAGCATTCAACACTGTAAAATCAGGGATTTCCAAATCGCAAACGTGACTACTTTTTAGCTCAGTGTTTACATACATTTTCTTTGATATTTGAAATTTATTATTTTCTGAAAGATATCATTTCTTTTGCTAATTCATATATTAATTTACGTAAGAATCACAAGTCTTCACTCTCAGTGTCTCCTGCTCTCATCTCCTGTCACTTAACTCAGCATCCTTCATAGCCACGCTGTGCTTCACCACGCACCAAATCTGTCCTTCCCCCCACCCCCAATTGACTGAACGAACGTTTACGCAGCACCAGTCATGCACCACTGGGGGTATAAAGGTCATAGGCTCTAATTTCTACCTTAAGCTCTTCTATGTTTGGTCACTTATTTCAATGCTCACCCTGTGAAGAGTAGCACGGTGAGTATTCTCATTTTTCCAGGGCAGCAAATAAGCTGCATGTGTAAGTGATTTTCTCCAGGTCACACACCTTGTAAAAACAGGACTGGAAGCCAGGACTCCTTATGCTAATAATATATGCTATTAACAACAGACTGTCTACTCGAGATTAATTCCATTTGACACGATTCTAATTCTTCTCACTTTTAAATTACACTTTCTGTTAATGTTATTTTCTGTCTCTCCCACATGAAGCACAAACCATGTTTTTTTTCCTCTCCATTTTAAGCATATAGGGGACAGTCTAATGGTGACTGCGGTTTAAAAAAGAAAAGGAAAAACCACCACCATATAGGCTACTTAAGCAGAATGCAGAAATAACCTGTGTTAAAAGGATTCATCATATTTCCTAACGGGCTGAGTCTCAGGCCATCTGTGATCCTTCTGCATTAGTATTAAGAGATTTAAATACTATTAGAAAATAACCTTTCCTTTGAGCTTCCTGAGACCCATCCCTCACTCCAGCCCTGCCCCGTGGGCCCACAGGTCTCCCTAATCGTGCCAGAAGCTGGCATGGCAGCGGGCCTCCAGGACCCTGTTGTACAGCTACGGCTGGCTGCTGTCCCGGTGAGGCAGTGCCTGTGCTTTTATCGGTTGACATATAGTTTTTAATAACCCATCTGCCTTCAGACAAGACCCTGGGATGCAGTGAGGCAATCCTTAACTCTCTAGGCTAAATATCTGTGGGGCCCAGGTGCAGATGTAACAGCACTGCCTGTTGATGTAGTTAGAGGGGACAGGGAAAACCCTTATCTTACTGTTAAAATTTCATTTACTTCTGAGTGTGAAGACCTGGTTTTATTAGATCTTTTCCAATAAAACAGTTACTTAAAAGGTTCATCACATTAATGAACGGTCTAACTGCCAAAACTTACGGAAGAAAACTTGCTTTATCTTAAGTATTTTATTATTTGAGTAACACCGTCATAGTGGCCATTAAAATGATCTGAAACAAAATGATCAGCATAAAAGCACGTTACAGCGTCACCGTTATTTATACAAGAGGGAGCAGCAGAGGTGCACGTTTGCAAGCAGCTGCAACACTGCTGAGTTAGTCCACGTGAAACACCGGGACGGGAAGTCAGAATGCGGCGTTACGTACATACCGTTGAAAAGGAAAGGGGGACATTTACAGAGCTAAACTTCTGTGTAACGTGAGTTTTGATCTGCTGTGGTTAGGTTAGCAAAAAGCCTTACAGTTTGTATGAAAGGACCACGTGCCCTAACCTCACCCACCACTGGATCAAGACACTGAAATGAGAAGAGTTCCTTCCTTATTTTACAGCTTTATTCTTGACATTCTTCTAAAAGGAGACAAACGATTGTGGAGCTGACTCATACCTGGAGTAAGGAATCATAAACACTCATAACAACCCGCTCATAACAACAAAAGCCAACTACAGTTATTTTTACCTTTCAGCTGCTGAGGTCACGTACAACACAGTACAAGTAAGCACAGCTGTGCATTCACAAGTTGACTCTACTAACCTCTGCAAAAATTTAGGAATGAGCACATCTCAGTAAATGGATACTTCCTTAACTTACAAAGTAAAATCAAGCAGGGGTGCCTAGGTGGCTCAGTCGGTTAAGCGTCGACTTCGGCTCAGGTCATGATCTCATGGTTTGTGAGTTTGAGCCCCACATCAGACTCTGTGCTGACAGCTCGGAGCCTGGAGCTGCTTCAGCTCCTGTGTCTCCTTCTTTCTCTGCCCCTCCCCCACTCCTGCTCTGCGCCTCTCTCTCAAAAATTAACATTACAAAAATTTAAAAAAACAACAAAGTAAAATCAAGCATTTTCTACTTTAAAACTTTTATTTCTGTGTAAAACAAAGACAGAACTCCTGGAGATCAAACAAAGAAAACACACACCAAGTTCAAAACACTGTTAAATCATGAAACAAAGAAGAAATCTGAGGTAGAAGTCAGGTAATATAATCCACAACCTTTTTAGGGGAGTACTTATTCCCAGCAACCAACATGTCTCTGGTAAGAACTCATTAAAAAAAAAAAACAAAAACTAAAAATAAGTTCCAAAAGTTAATAATCCTCTTTGAAATCAGATGTAAAAACTATGACCAACAGAAGATACAAACTTTTGTCACATTAACAGAGTAAGTGGTAGCTGCTGCTGTTTCCATCAGTAGTAGCCATAGGGAGGCCGTTGGTTGTAACCATAATGTCCGTACTGGTGGGGGTAGTAAGGCTCTTGTCTGTGCTGCGGGTAATTGTTACCCCAGGATCGTCCGTGCCACTGATTGGATCGATTGTCACTTGGCCACCCCCGTCTGCTATCCCTACCTCTAAACTGTCTGTTATCTTGCAACCTACAACAGCAAAACAAAAAAAGTTTTATACTTCCCTTTTAAAAGACATAAACGACAAATCTATCCTGGTGCATTTTAGTTCTCAATCTAATACTCAGGGCACAGAGAAAAGAAAAGAACATTCTTCTCCGCAGAATGTTATAGCACCAGTTACTCAAAACATTCCCAAGATATAAATCATTCTTCCGGTATTCTGCTGCGTACACTTTGCAGAGAAATAGGCAGACCACAACACAAAACACAAAACAATAGGGCAGTTCTCAAGCTGAATTCTATCCAACTGTACAAAAGCAGTATGGTAATTTATTCCTTTTATCTACTTTGAATTATTAAGTAGACATCATTTCTATTGTATAAATTTCTTTCTAAAGTATAAGCCAAAGACAGTACCTACTTTATGGAATCTAACACAGAGTTTTATAGAAGACTCCGGGTTTTTAAAGTATATTTGCAAAGAAAAGAAAATGTCAGTGCACAGAAAGAACATTTTAAGAAAGAACATTAAAACATGCACAACTCAACAGAAGGAAAAACTATACGGTGCCAACAAAACACTAAGGCAGATATTTACTGGCCACGTGCTCTGTGTGGGCAGTTAGGCGGCACCAGGCATAGCGAACAAAAACCTTGGTCTCTGCCCTCACTGGCCTTGTGGGCAAACAGATTCAAGCTGTCCTCACCCACATCAGCCACCCGCAGGTGCCATCTGGTGATACATACCGATTGCCTCGATTTCTCTGGTTCCCGCCAGCTCTGCTATTCCACTCCTCCACGATCGGAGGGGACTCGGGGGGGCGTTTCAGGTATTCCTGGTACTCTCTGTCGTCTTCTGTGAATCTGCTGGCGAACATCTCTTCAAAATTTGGAACAGCTTCAGAAGCGTCGGTCATCCTGAAATTCTGAACAGTTTTTAATATAGTTCTATGAGGACTTTTTTTTAAAAAGTCACATTATCTTACCAGATAGTGAAAAACCAAGAAGTGAACAATTTTAGGCAGGGTATTCATAAACGTCTTTGTGTACTTTTAAACTTAAGGCAGTTTTAAACATTCAATTCAGTACTCCTTGGTTTCTGTAATAAAGACATTGTACTAACTGGGCACCTAGGCTACAAAGATGAACAATATATCATGGTCTCTACCCCTAGAGAGCTATGGTCTATAGTGTAAGACAGACGTGGTATAAATCTAAAGGGAGGAACAGTCAATGTCAAGAAATGAAGTTGGAAAAATAGGCAGGGATCAAACTGTGAAAAACTGTATTCGACACAAACAACTGTGCGCTTATGCTGGTAGGAAATGGGGAATCCTAGGTGGTTTAAGCGGGGAAGTCTTCAGAGCAAGCTATTTAGAAGGATCACTTTTCTAACAGGGCAGAGAACAGATCAGCTAGGACAGACCAAAGGCAGCTTACTGCACTACGGAGGGCTCAACGTGAGGTAGCAACTGTGAGAACAGTTTTGTAAGAATTCCAGGAGAAATTAATCACTAACTAGATGTGTGGTGGGGGGAGATAAAGGATAACTTCCAGGCTTCTAGCCAAATGACTGGATGGACTACGGTGCCATGGGAACCACAGGAAGAAGGGTGGGCGAGGATCCACAAGAATGTGAAGTTGGTTATGTGTGCCCATCCACACGGAGCGTCAGCTCACAGTTACCTATTTGGGACTGAGAAGTAGGTGAGCTTCCTCAAGAAGACTATCAAGAGTATCAGAATCCTGGAGAACACCGAAGTATTAAGGAAGTTGAAGATAAAGAAAACACACGCAGGTAAGACCCAGAAGAGCTTACTTAGCACAGAAGGCAAGAGAACGAAGAGTGAGTCCTCAGCGTGGAACAGAACAATGATAGAACCAGAAAGAGAGAACGAGCTGGAGCTGGCCATTAGGAGGTGGTTATTTTGGAGGACTAGGGACTGAAACAGGACTGCAGTTCAATGAAAAGTAACTGGAAGGTAAGGAAGGAGAAATCTACACTGGCTACAGACTAAGTTTTCAAGAGGCTTCGCTGAAAACGAGAAAAAAGGGCAGTAGCTAAAGGGTTACTGGAAGATGATCTCCTGTTTTTCCCAGGACAAAGTACCTGAGGTTAGGTTTACAGGAAAAGAAAAAAGAACCAGTAAAAAAGTGAAAGACTGAAAATACAGGAGACACATGAAAATGGAAAGGCAAATAGGCATTTAAATGAACAGCTACTCAAGTTTAGGGCACTTTATGATGGCATCCAATGAGCTCCTATACTGTGACAAAATGAACACTATAGAAACTGTCTAATGGCTAAAAACCAAGTCTGTATGAGCTGGGCTTCCCAGGCCCATTATGATTCGTTCAAGCAGTATTTCTTCACCTACATTCTCCGAAAGCCCTCTCCTTCTAAAGATTTGGCTTAGACGACAAAAGGCCTCATCCTCGAGAGGCCAGGGGACAAAGAGTTCACTTCTTTTAAACTTTATCCAAGACGGGGAGGCCAGCCAGTCGGCGTTCTGTAGGGAGCCCCCACCTACTGGTCAGGACCCCCATCCCCACCTTTCCTAACCCAGCCAGACTTCATCTTTCCACTCTTTGCCTCAAGCCTCCTAAACAGCTGTTTCATGATCTGGGATATATGTGACATCATACTAAAACTTTCAGATCGGACATCCTAAAGTTATTTTCTTCCTGTATCACTTCACCTTACAATAAAACTTTTTGACAAAGACACATGAGAGTGGAAGACCGTTTCTTCGTGAGTTTGTTTTCCCCCCAAATCCCTCAAAGTTGTAACGCAAATAGTTACAACTCCACCCTCATGCCAACATTAAACCAAGACCATGTGTGCGTGCAAGACGCGGTACCAGACGTTTCCTCTTTCAGGCCGCTGCTCTCAGACCTTCGGCTTTCTCAGATGTCAATTCTCAGCCCAAGTTCAGCCAATGACAGTCGTGCCTGGATTTCTATAGGATCCCAGAAACCACCAGATGACCCATACCCACCCAGATGGGGAGCAGAACTTAGAAGGCAAGGCCAAAATGCCACTCTGTTTCTATGTTCTCCTACGGCCCCCTTCTCACAAGTAAACATCTCTATCACTACTCATTAGGATGAAATTCAAAGAGATTTTTAATCGATCTGAGCTTTACTTACCCCAGACTCTGAGGCAGTTGTACTGTTTAATGTTTATGTTGTTTCGATCTGGGGGAGGGGAGACAAACACTTGAGTCTCTGGAAGGAAATCTACAAAAGGGGGGGAGGTGCGGGGGCGGTGAGGGCGAGGAACACAAGGGCCTCAGCGAGCGAAGGGGCTGGACTGAAGCGCTCCGGACACTCGCAACGCTGGCAGGAAAGCGACAACAAGCGGCCAGACGCGCTGCGGCGAGCGCGGGGCCTTCCCAGCGCAGAGGCTGGTTCAGGCCCGCCCGGGCACAAGTACGGGCTCCCCGGTGGGGGGCAGGGGCTCAGCCTTCCAGGCCGGGGCTCGAACACAAGTAAAACCGCGCGGCGCCCCGGCTGCAGGCGAGCGCCCTTGGGGCTGACTGACCACGGGGGGCTTCTGCTGCCCGGGGAACGCGCGCCGGCTTCCCAGGCCGCTCTCGGGGCGCGCGGGGCCCGCCAGGCCTGCTCCCTCCCCAGACGCGAGGCCGAGTGGAGGCCACTCGGCGCGGCCCTCCGGGCTCCTTGCTCCCCGATCGCCCGCCGAGGGCCGCGTCTGCCCAGCTCGGGCCGCACCCCGCTGGCCACCCGCGCAGGAGCACCCACCTCCGGCCCACAGCGCGGCCACGGGATCGGCCGCTACTTCAGCAATACAAGGTAACAGCCGCTCGGGCCACAAGCCGACAGCCGCTTGACTTCCGCTTCCGGAACGCCAGCGCGGGGCCGGCCTGCCAAGTCTCGCGAGATCGCGGGCCCACGGTGCAGCTTCCTCCCGGTTCCTCGGTCTCCCGAGCCCGGCGCCGAGCGCGGTTGGGGTCTCGCCTGGGGGTGGGGAGAGGGGTGCCCACGTGCGCTCTCAGCCCGCTCTCCTGGACCGGACACCGCTGTGCGTGAGGCCCCGCGCCTGGGGCCGGCGACGGGCGGGGACGTACGCTGAGGAAATGTGCGGGGAGGGGAGGGGGACGCCCTCTGGCCGCCCGCTCCCGGGTCCGGCGAGGCCACGGCTTCCGCCCCTGCCTGCCAGGCCTCGCTCGTAGGGTGTCCGCAGTCCGTTTTGTGCCCGTTTTTCCCTACGCCCTTCTCCCCCGGCTGCAGTGAAGTCGTCAGTGCCCGGCTGGCTGCCTCCAGGCGCCGTGGCCCCACCGGTGCCGGGGTCCCAGACGTGACCGCCTCCGCCCTCGCAGCTGGCCTTCGGGCTGCGCCCCCCGCCCCTTGTTAGGATCACCGCCAGTTTCTGCTTGGGAGCTTTGACGTCCGCAGTTGGTGCCGCTTCCCCGTACTTGCTCCTGTCAGCTGACGGGAGCCGTAGGTCCTCCCCCCGCAGTCATCGCGGCATCCGTCCCTCCTTACCCGCCGCCTGCACCCGCTCTCGTCCTCGCCCTCGGCGGGCAAGGGCAGGACTTCCCGGCCCTACAGCCCCCTTCGGCTGTGAGTAGGGGTCTTCCCGGGTCCCCTGTTTAAGGGCCTAATTTGTGAACTTGAATTCAAAATTCAGACTTTGTTGGGGCGCCTGGGGGGCTCAGTCGGTTGAGCGACCGACTTCCGCTCAGGTCACGATCTCTCGGTTCGTGGCTTCGAGTCCCGCGTCGGGCTCTGCGCGGACAGCTCGGAGCCTGGAGCTGCTTCACATTCTGTGTCTCCCTCTCTCTCAGACCCTCCCCTGCTCATGCTGTCTCTCCCTCTCTCTCTCTCTCTCTCTCTCTCAGAAATAATTTTTTTTTTTTTAAATTAAGACTTTATTTTCTGCTGTTCCCGTTTCCTCCTCCCTTGTCGGTGGGGAGCCAGACCATCTGAAGCCCCTCCTGCCCCCCTCCCTTTACCTTCCAAAAATTGCTCCTGGCTCTTTCTCCTTAGGAACACCCTTCCCTCCCCATCTTACACTGTTGAAATTCTGTCCATTCTTTAAAGCCAAATAGTGACCTCTCCATCTAGCAATAAATTCTCTTTCTACTGAATGTCCATCATACTTTCAAAACCGTTCTTCATATATTCATTCCGTTATTATCACTTTCTAGTTTTGAACTAAAATTGGGTGTACAGTTCATCCCCCTACTAGACCATAAACAGACCTCGATCATCCTGCATCCTGGAATGGGTAACACTGTGCTTTGTATAAAGTGAGCACTCGGTACATGCGGAATGAATGTGAAGCTGCGAACATTCCAAGCCATGCTTTCGAAACACGGAGCTAGTAAAAGTGCCTGGGATGGACGAGGAGCTGGGACAGTCTTCACCCCCCTTGGATAGTGAAGGTGAGAGGCGGAAGAGCAGGTGGAATAACTGAGTAACGCTCTCCTCAGTAGCTGAGTGGATGGTTGGGGGAAAGGATTGTAAGCTTGAGCAATGGGGACGGAAAAGGGATAGCCATAGGGTGCATTGATTTTTTTTTTCTTTTTAATTTTTATTTTTGGGAGAGTGCGAGTGGGTCAGGGGGAGTAAGAGGGGGACATAGGATCGGAAGCGGGCTCTGAGCTGACAGGCTGACAGCAGTGATCCCCGTGTGGGGCTCGAACTTGCAAACAGCATGATCGTGAGTGGAAGTCGGACACTCAAGTGACTGAGCCCCTCAGGTGCCCCTAGAGTGAATTGGTTTTAGGACAAAAACGAGCTCAGAGCTTAAACAGACTTGGAGAAAACGAGATGGCTGAAGACAGAGAGGTCACGGCCCAATATGTAAATGTGTGAGTCATCCATGAAGAAACAACAGATGAAATCCTCAATGTGTATGATCTTCCAACAGAGAAAGTATTTATAGAGAAGAGCAGAAGGCCAAGGCCTACGCCACAGGAAACACTCATATTTAGGAAAGAAGGAATAGGAAATATAAACTTGAAGAAAAGATTAGAATAATGCATGGTAGCAATGTAACAGTGGAAAAACTCAGAAAACTGCTTCCCCACCTGGTATCAGGAGTCAGGGAGGGTATATGGAAAAAAGAGGGCTGTTGAAGAGCAGTTTGCCGGCTTCCTTGTGACTTTATTGTACTATTTCTAGGTAACGAGGACTTGCCCAGGAAAGAGTGTATTTCTTGAATTTCGTACGCACTTAGGAGCTTCAAGCCTCTCAGACTTTCTGTGAAGAACTGTAGATATTCTAACCAATTTCAAATGAAACTATTTCTGCCCATAGTGTTTTCTTATATTCCGATATTTTATCAGTTTTGTATCTCATTTTCTAGCATCATTAGGGAATAATTTGTTCCATGAAAAGGAATTTTCCAGATAACTGACATTTAGCCTTTACACATTAAAATGTTTTCACCGGAACCACTTAAAAATTTTTTTAATTTATTTTTGAGAGAGAGAGAGCATGAGCAGGGGAGGGGCAGAGAGGGAGACACAGACTCTGAAACAGGCTCCAGGCTACGAGCTGTCAGCACAGAGCCTGACGTGGGGCTCGAACCCACAAACCGTGAGATCATGACCTGAGCCCAAGTTGGACACTTAACTGACTGATCCACCCAGGTGCCCCTCACTGCAACTGCTTTTGATAGAAATGTACATAAAACATAGTACTTCTCTGCCATGAACATGGCATATGGGCCATAATTTAAACTGTGCTTGGCAACTAGAGCTGTTCCAGCATTGATTAGTATACTCTGCTGGATAGCAAAGTCCTTGGCCCTGTGGACACATCTGGAAGAGTCTGCCCTATGTTAGTTGACTTTTTTTTTGACCTCTGTTAGTGTTCTGTCTCAATGGCTTTTCTTCAAGCAACTGTAAATTACCCTCATTTTACCCATAATTTCAAGCCTCACATCGACCCAGTGATCTGGAGGCAGAACACACCAGCGGACGTCCCCGGGGAATCCTGGCCGCAAAGGAGTCCTTTCAGGGGCTGTGAGCGACTTTGGACAATGACCACATTAAAGATGACAAAACCGAGGCTCCAGTGGTGATGCAATTGGTTCAAGGCCACAGCTGGTAAGTGGCAGCAGGATTTGGATCAAGTGCTGTTCCTTCCACAGTGAAACACTGTCTTCTCCTTTTCCCTCCCTGCTCCGCACCTCATGAGCCACGTTACCCAGCTTTGCTGTGGCACAGCCCAAGCTCTTCCACTCCAGAAGCCACATGGAGCCACGGAAGGTGGGACTCTGCCCCTGTGGCCTCCCCACCAAGAAGTGCAGCCAGGACCACGTTCCTATTTCCTCACATTCCTCGCCTTCTAAGAATTCATTTTAATTTTTTAATTCATTTTTATTTTTAGAGAGCGTATGAGCAGGGAGAGATGCAGAGAGAGAAAGAGAGAGAGAGAGAGAGAGAGAGAGAATCCTAAGCAGGCTCCACGCTGTCAGCACAGAGCCTGACTCGGGGCTCGATCCTGCCAACCATGAAGTCATGACCTGAGCTGAGATCAAGAGTCAGATGCTCAACTGACTGAGCCACCCAGGCACCCCTCGTTTTTTGTGTGTTGTTTTTTTTTTTTAAGCTAATGCTCTGGGAGATGAAATGACTTCTCCAAGATCCTAGAATTGGTCAGGGCAGAAGGGGAGCTGAAAACTTGAGGCTTTCCTCGTGGATTTAACAAATATCTTTTGAGTATGCATTAGATGCCGGGTACTATTCTGAGTCCTGGAAACATCCATGAGTAAGGATAAAAGCCCTGCCCTCAGGGGGCTTCCATTCTAGTGGGGAAGATGAACAGGTGGAAAAGTGAACACGAAGGAGAATTGCAGGGCAAGAGGACGGAGGGCAATGAGCGGCCACTGTGGAGAGCCTCACCAGGCAATGTGTGAGCGCATGGTGTTCATCTCAGCCCCTTTCCTTGTAAGGTGGAGCCCCTCACACTTTGCCCGATCAGGAATGTAAAAAGTGAAGTACTTCGTTTATTTTTAACATCTGTTTCTTTCATAGTGAGTAGAGGAATCTCTCATTTCTGGGACAAGAAAGATAGGGCTTACCTTGTAGGTCTTAGACTGTGCCCAGTGGCAAAATTGAATTTCTGTATCTATAGCTTGAGTTGGAATTACAGACTCACAAATGGTCTTTCTGTCTTTTTTTTTATTTAAAAAAAATTTTAGTGTTTATTTATTTTTGAGAGAAAGAGACAGAGTACAGGCAGGGGAGGGGCAGAGAGAGAGGGAGACAGAATCTGAAGCAGGCTCTGACTCTGAGCTGTCAGCACAGACCCTGACACGGGGCTCGAACCCACGAACCGTGAGATCATGACCTGAGTCTAAGTCGGACGCTTAACCAACTGAGCCACCCAGGCGCCCTTTTTTAATTTTTAAAAACATTTATTTATTTTTGAGAGAGAGAGAGAGTGTGAGCAGGGGAGGGACAGAGAGATAGGAGACACAGAATCCGAAGCAGGCTCCAGGCTCTAAGCTGTCAGCACAGAGCCCGATGTGGGGCTCAAACTTGTGAATCTTCAGATCGTGACTTGAGCTGAATTCAGACACTTAACCGACTGAACCACCTTTCCCTGCCCCACCCCAAGCCCCCACCCCATCCATACGCACACTGACCATCTTGCACAGAGCCAACCACATGGCTAGAACCCAATAAATAAGTTCCTAAACAAGAATTAAATGATGATCGCCTTCCACTCACTTTTTCAGACCTAGGCTAATGTCAGCATGTTTCCCTGCTCGATTTTATCTTCTGCAAAATGGGAATAATAATCCTCCCTACTTCTCTGCCTCATGAGGTTATTATAAGAATGAATTACTGCATTTATAAAGTGCTTTAGGCTCAAGTGAAGAAAGATGCTATGCAGATGCTAGTGATAATTAGTCATTATATGTTACATAAATATTTAATCGCCAAGAAAACATTTCAGGTTATATGAGGCATCGGTTCAGATTCACATCTGTACTGCTATGACTTTAATTACACAGAATTGTTCTGATCAGAGATTACAAGGTCCTAATGCAGTTCCGCCCCTCAGTGTCACCTTCCCATGTGAGGAGTCCTTTGTGTGGGGGACTTTTTTCTGTGGGAGTGTAGGAAGCAAGCCAATGCTGGCTAGTTTGCAACCTGAGTTTTAAGTTTTTGTAAATTTTTTTTTAAGGTTTGTTTATTTTTGAGAGAGAGAGCATGAATGAGGAGGGGCAGAGAGAGAGAGACAGAATCTGAAACAGTCTCCAGGCTCCGAGCTGATGGTACAGAACCCAGTGTGGGGCTTGAACCCACAAATCATGATACCTGAGCCAAAGTCTGATGCTTAACCAACTGAGCAACCCAGGTACCCCTTAAAATATTTTTTAAATGTCTATTTATATATTTTGAGAGAGAGAGCAGGGGAGGGACAGTGGGAGAGAGAGAATCCCAAGCAGGCTCCGCACCATCAGCACAGAGCCCAGTGCAGGCTCCATCTCACAAATCATGAGATCATGACCTGACCCAATGTCAAGAGTTGGACATTCAACCAACTGAGCCACCCAGGAGCCCCCGAGTTTTACTATTTCCCATGGAAGCCAGTTGGTAGCCTCGAAGAAATCACAGAAGAGGGACAGGCCCGCAGTCTTGGGAAAGAAGAGGCTGTGAATTGGGCTCAATAATTTGGAACTCAAGTCTCGAAGATCTGTGATTGTGACATGAAGGTTTCTCCTCTCCTTTCCCCGAAGGCTGGTATGTAAATAAGGGCACAGGTTGTGTTTTCTAAGTGGAGGTGATTTGGCTTCAAGTTGTGCAGTATCCGCCTGATTCGACTCTGCCTGTCCGTGACGGCTTTCGTCTCTAATGTGTCTCTAATGTCCATCGTTTGCTTTGCCCGGCTGCTTCTCTGCCAGCTCTCATGATCTGCCTCAGTCTTGTTCCCACCTGCCTCTTCGTAGGCATGTGGATGAAGGTCCCATAGAAAGGACCTCGGAAATGTGCAGAGAGGCCAAGGGACCTGGCCAGTTTCACTCCCCTCCCCTCCACGCCGCCATGTGCTTTTCTCCAGGTAGTTTCCCAGAATCTCTTTCACGGAGGAGAACAGTTCTAAGCCCCTGGAAGCAGCACGAGCAAGTCAGGATCTTTATCTGAGGGTCAACTTCTGCATCTTCCCACTTCCAGGAGGTCCCCACCCAGGGTCTTGACGGCCTTCTTGTCTTTGATGACGAGGCGGCCTGTACTGACCTCAGGTGAAGCCAGCCTTGTCTAGTGATCTGCCCAAAGGAAGGTCCAGGGGCGCCCGGGGGGCTCAGTCAGCTAAGCATCCGACTCTCGATCATGACTTCTCGGTTCGTGAGCTCAAGGCCCATGTCAGGCTCTGCACTGACAGCACGGAACCTGCTTGGGATTGTCTGTCCCTCCACTGAGCGCACATGTTTTCTCTTTCTCAAAAAATACACTTTTTTAAAACTTTTAAAAATGTTTGTATTTTTAAGAGACAGAGTGTGAGCAGGGGAGAGGCAGAGAGAGAGGGAGACACAGAATTCGAAGCAGATTCCAGGCTCTGAGCTGTCAGCACAGAGCCCAACACGGGGCTCGAACCCACAAACCATTAGGTCATGATCTGAGCCGAAGCGGGACGCTTAAGTGACTGAGCCACCCAGGTGCCCCCCACCCCTAAAATACATATATTTTATAAAAAAGAGAAAGGTCCAAATTATTTCTCGTTCTGCAGATAGAGTTGAGACTTCTGTCTCAGTTCCCTCCATTTCCCAATCCCATACCTATGGTGTGACTGCTTCCCGCCCCTTTCCACCTCTTGTCTGCCAGCGTCTTGCTGCTGCTGTGCCTTTGATCAGTGCGCACCCTGCTCTTCCGGTCTGTGCTCCTGCAGTCACTCCTTCCATCTTCTCTGTTTTCAACTGCCCCCCTTGACCAGCTCCCCCCGCCCCCGCCCCCACCGCGTAAACTTGCTCAAGTTTCTGTCTCAAAACAAAACCGATACCCTGTCCTCAATCCTGTGTCCTCTGAACATCTCGGATCTCCTTTCCCCACGCGGCGCATCCCTGACAGAGAGCCCTCCACACCTGCAGTAGCACTTCGCCCCCCCTTTCTGTCCCCAGTTAGGCCACTGAAGCCACTCTGGCAAAGCTCACTGGGACAGACCTGAGCTGGGGCCAAACGCAGTGACTTCAGTTTATTTAACGTCTGTGACGCTTTCCTCTGTCTCCTCCCCACACCTTCTCTCCTCGTTTCCAGGTTTCTCAGGATCCTCCTCCACCCCAGGTCACTGCCTCCGCTCTGCCTCCTCCTTTCCTCTACTTTATCTGAGCTCTAGACTCATAAATACTCCTGCCTGCTAGAAATTTCTGTCTGCTTATCTGACCCGCACCTCCAGCACACGTCCACATGTGAGTTCATCTTTCTTCCTGGACCTGTTCATCCACCTCAGGCTCTGCTTCTGGACGCCGTGTCCCTCCCAGTTACCCGCAGCGAAAGCCGGCGGCCGTCCTGGACTTCTCCCGCCCGCTACCCCCACGCCGTCTCCCCCCGTGCCCGGGGTCCTCAGCTCCTGACCGTCTCTTCTGCCACTGGTTCTGACCCTCCTCCTTCCCTATGCAGACCGGGCGATAGCCTCTAACGAGGCCTGTACCCGTCTTTGCTCCCTGCCAGACACCAGGCACCTGTCCACCCCGCTGCTGGGTGTTCTTCTGTAATTATTATGAAACCTACAGAAAGGAATTGATAAGGTATAGCGAATTCTTGTGTACCAGCCAGCTCAAGTAGGTTCTTTCTTTTTGTTTATTTATTTGTTTTGAGAGAGAGCACGGGGGAGGGACAGAGAGAGAGAGAGAATCCAAGCTGATAACACAGAGCCCCACTTGTGGCTCGATCCCACAAACCATGAGATCATGACCTGAGCCGAAAGCAAGAGTCGGACGCTTAACCAACTGACTGAGTGCCCCAGACTAGGTTCTTTCCAGAACACAAACCTGATTACATCTATCCCTTGATTGACTCACCTTTCACGGGGTCCTGATTACTTCTAGGACACACTCCAAGCTGCTGAGTGTGGAATTCCAGTCCAGTAAGATCTAGCTCTGTCCTTTCCGGCCAGCCTCATGTGCCACGCTCCCTGAGTGCACGAAATGCACAGCCACGTCAAAGTGTTTCAGGATCCCGAAGGTCTTTGTGTTGTGTTGTATCTGTGCTGTCCATTCCATTTGCAGTGCCCTCCCCACTCTGGCCCCCCCGTAAGCCTTAGCCCATTATGGCCTCCTCGGGGGGGGACTTCCTCAGCGCACCCCTCTCTGCCCCCACCTCCGGGGAGAACCGATGATCCCTTCCTGTACGTCTTCAACGCATATAGTCACGTCTGACTAAATTATAAATTCCTAGAGGGTAAGACTGTCTCTTTCGCATCTTTGGCAATTAGCTTGGAGCCTGGTGACCTGATATGTCATTCGTGCTCAGTTAATGTTTACTGATCTGGCCCCTACCTTCCTCTCCAGTTTTAGATTTGACCAATCTTTTCCCACTTACTTTCTCCCCTGCTCAGGAAACGCTCAACCATGTATAAAGTCTCCGCCCCCGGCCTGTGCACAGCGTGTATGTCCCCTGGACACCCCCTTATCGGGTGCCCATGTCACCTTGTAGAACCTGATCTCCCTGCTAGGATATAGGTGCTGGGAGCCCGAGGACCTCCTGAGCCGTCTCTGCCTCCCCAGCACCCAGTACCCGGCGCCCGGCCCTGGGGCCGGCACTCACGGCGGAGCAGAGCGATTGTGAGCCCCCAAGTGAAGGAGTTAGGCTCGCTGGTTCCCAAGTCCTCCAACTCCCAAGCTGTATGATTGGAGGTTCCAAAAGCTGTGACACAATCATGACATAATCTGCAAGTTCTCTCCCAACAGGTGGCCCGAGCAGTGGAAATAGATGCAGTTGGCAGTTGGCAGATGCAAAGGGAAACACTTGACGGTGAGTCAGAATGAAGGTGAGCACCCCACGGGGTCGGGAACATCGGCCCAACAGCGTGCGCGGGAGGTCACAGGCCCCGGCTGCGCGCTGCTCGGCTCCACATGCCCCTCGGTGACACGTGTGCCTTCAGAGCTTCTCTGAAAGACGTCTGACAAGTTCCCCGTGACTAGGCCCTCATGGGCTGGACACGACCTGAAAGTACATTATTTCTCTGTAGTGAACATTACTTCCCCCACTCTTTTGGCATTTCACTTTAATTTGCTCATTTTTGTAAACTGTCACACAAAGTTTAGTCATTTATTTAACATGTGGTTTCTGTTCAGATCGAACTCTAGGAAAAAAACCCAGATCTAAAGACTTTTTAGGACTTGTGACCTTGCTTGGTTTTTTTATCGCTCCATATGCATCTACCATTTCCAGCATATTTCTAGGCTAACTGTTTGGGGGAATGGAGAGAAGTGACAAAATGTGGAACACAATCTCGGGACCTCGTCGAAGAGTCAAGCAGAAGATGGTCATGTTGTGGCATGCGCGTGATGGACGACAGAACGCGGGAACCCCATGCAGTGCAGGGAAAGATGCTCCTAGCGGGACACCTAAGTGTAGACCGGCTTCCGGATGAGAACTCAGAGCAAAGTAAAATTAACCCAAAGATATTTAGGGAAGGTGGCGGGTCTCCAGCAAGCGCTCGAACACACACACACACACACACACGCACACACACAGCCCGTGCACAGATTTGGGGTGTGGACGATGGGGACAGGCTACTCTTTCTTGAATATTCTTCAGAGCCAGACTCCAAGGCTTCTCCATTTACCTTCAGGCCGACTCACACAGCTCTGTCCCACCCTCTGTTCCCAGACCGCCCCCCAGACCTGCTGTGTCACCTCATCCCTGCCGTGTTTGGAATGTGAGTTGTGACCTCCACCGACTTGGGGAAATGCGTGTCTCTCTTTGACTTCAGCAAATTCCAGTGTTGAGGGTTGACTCTGTTTTCCCTCCAGGCCAGTTGGCGGGCGGGGGGGGGGGGTAGTGCCCCCTCCCATGGGTGAGTGGAGAGCCTTTGCTCTATGGGGATCTTTAGCATTTTTTTTTTTTACTTTAACAGTTTTTTTTTTTTTAATGTTTATTTATTTACGTAGAGAGAGCGAGCAGGGGAAGGACAGAGAGAGGGAGACAGAATTCCAAACAGGCTCCATGCTGTCAGCGCATAGCCTGACGTGGGGCCCAAACTCACGAACCATGAGATCATGACCTGAGCTGAAATCAAGAGCCGGATGCTTAACCGCCTGAGCCCCCCCAAGTGCCCTGAGATCTTGAGCGTTTTAGGGTGGGAGGGGCTTTGGCTTCCCTAGCAGGCCGACCTGAGTGACTGTCGCCAAGAACAAGGCTCGGTTTCCTTATTTCTAAAATGAGGTGATAACGATTGATATTTTCCACCGCGGAGATGATGATAATAAAGGCTAAGAAATGTTAGTTAGTGCCCCACACCTCCCTTGAGGTTTCCCAAACCGGAGTGAAACCAGCTCCGACCTGGCTGGTTTGATCAGGGACGCGTTGTGATGCAAACACTGGGCCACAGCCTTGTGACACCTGTCACCTGTCACGAACGCTGCTACCTATGCTGTTCACTGAGCACGGACTGCATGCCAGGTTTTGGCTAGTGCTCTGCACCCACATTATCTCGTTATCCTCAGAGCAGCCCACCGAGGCCGAGAGCTGTCTTGTTCAAACAAGGCTTGGGCGTGCCAGGTGACCTGCCCGAGCTTGCCCAAGCAGCAGGGAACCCACCCTCTCCTTCCCAGGGACAGGCCACCAGAGAAGCTAAGGAACAAGACGTGTGAGCTGGCGTTTTGGGGAGTCAGCTGTCCGACAGGCCAGTTGGGGTGGCCCTCTGTGGTTGAGAAGTGAGACTCCAGGTGTTTGCGGCAGCGAGCGAAGCAAGTGGCGTGTGCTTTCATGTGAAACCACTCGAGCTGGAACATGGAGTCTGTCAGGTATCGCGTGACAGTGGAGACGCGGGTCAGGGTTACTTTCACTTTGGTTTATTATCTTTTTCTTTTTGAGAGGGAAAGAGAGAGCATAAGCAGGGGAGGGGCAGAGGGAGAGAGAGAAACTCTGAAGCAGGCTCCACAATCAACGCAGAGCCTGACGCCGGGCTTGATGTCATGAACCGTGAGATCATGACCTGAGCCTAAATCAAGAGTCAACCGACGCTCAACCGACTGAACCGCAAGGCACCCGACTTTGGCGTATTTCTGAAGCAGGAAGAAGGCAATGCAAGGCATATAAATGAGGAAAGGAATCAGGAAGCTCTTTTTTGGTTCTTTTTTTTTTTTTTTAGTTTTTTAATGTTTATTATTTTTGAGAGAGAGAGAGAGGGAGCACAGAATCCAAAGTAGTCTCCTGGCTCTGAGCTGTCAGCACAGAGTGGGGCTTGAACCCACGAGCCATGAAATCATGACCTGAGTGGAAGTCACCCCCAGGAGTCTCTCTGACGCCTGCCTCTTCCATATCTCATGTGGGCGTGTCTCGTGAGCCCACACAAAGTCCACCGGGTCAACACCTACAGACCCGTGTTTACTGCTTATCACCCAGAAAGAACTTGTACCTCCATGTAAAGCCGTCCGTCTGCTACTCGGAGGGAGGCCATGTCACCTGGGCCCGATAGCCATATCCTAGGCCTTGAACTTCCTGTTGTGTGTGCTAGAATTTACAGCCATCTCCCTTTGCCCCGGTCCTTTACTTCAAGTCCTGACAATTTTCTGCTTATGTCCACTGGGCTGCTGTCCGTGGGCAGGTCTGGCCGTGGCCAACTATAGACACACAAACGTAAAGTTACAGTCTGTTGCAAAAATTGAGGAATGCAGGGGTGCCCGGGTGGCTCAGTTGGTTGAGCGTCCGACTTCGTCACAGGTCAGGATCTCAAGGCTCGTAAGTTTGAGCCCTGCGTCGGGCTCTGTGCTGACAGTGCGGAACCTGCTTCAGATTCTCTGTCTCCCTCTTTCTCTGCTCCTCCTGCTCTCACACTTTCTCTCAAACATAAATAAATATTTTAAAAATTCTTTCTTTAATTGAGGAATGCAATTTGTATTCTTACCCAGAGGGCCACTCCAGCTTCAGGCAGAAGAATTTATGGATGGCCACAACCAAAATCGTGTTCAAAAAAGCAGCTGATAGAGAAAGAAAGCAGATCAGTGATTGCGGTGTTTGGGTGGAGCGAGGGACAGACAGACTACAGGTGACTGTGAAGGAGCTTTTGGGGGGTCTGTGGGAACATCCTAAGGCTGGATAGTGGCGGTGGCTGTACAAGTCCATAACTTTGCTGAAAATCCTGAACTGTATGCATATGCTGGGTGCATTTTATGATGTGTAACTTACACGGGAGGGAAGAGAGCGGCTCTGGGTTTGCTTGAACAGATGGCGAGCACTTAAGTGAAAGCCCAGTGTATCGGACCACAGAGCATAGAAGGTCGGGGCCCAGAACATGTTAGGGGCAGGAGTAAATGCTTGGAATCTTAGTGTTCAAACATCCAACCTTGAGTCATCTGCCTCCTGACGTGTCCCTTCAGAGAGATGACAGTCGTAATAGGAATAATGGCTCTGGCCGGAATGGCTGGTTCACCCCGCCCCCCAGTTCTCCCCATCCACAGGCAGGGAGGGTTGTGAGTTCCCGGACCAGAAGTGAACTGACCTCAGCAGAGTCAGAGATTAATAATACCAAGAGCCATAGCTTCTTGCTTCTAAGAATCCTTTAAAATCCATTTGAATTTTTACATAAATTTTCTGCTGCAAGAGTTGTCGCATCCAAAGAGAAATGTCAGGGTAAGACATTCTCAGTGCCACAATTACTAAAATTTGAAAAGGGTGTCAAAGTAAAAAAGCAAAACAAAAAAAAAGACACTCTTAGTGGCTGTGCCTCCCCAACAGCATCTGTCCACCTCCCTCTGTGTGTGTGTGTGTGTGTGTGTGTGTGTCTGTCTATGTCTGTCTGTCTCCACCTCCACCCACCCCCTCCGTCCCCTGCCCTTGACCTCCGCCTGTCCCCTCGCCTGATTCATGACTGAGGGAATAGCAGTGTTAGCAACAAGCATCACGCACCTGGCCACGGCGGGAGGAGACCACGGGCCTCCTCTCCCCCCTCCCCTCCCCCCAGTGAGCCCAGGCCTCAGCTGAAAACATCCAGAAACCAGAGTTGCCTGCTATTCACAATTGGCTTCTGCTGGCCGAGCTTGCCTAAGCTCCTAGCACACCGGTTCCTCAGTAAACCAGACGCTGGCTCATCATTAGCTGAATGAGGCATGTTCTTTGTGAAGGGGCTGCCTCCTTCCCGAAAGTCTGGGGTGGCCTGTCCCCGGGTGCTACCAGGGGCCACGGACGATGGCTTTCCTCTTCTGCACGCCTAGAACACAGCTGGCGCTTGCCGAGGGTTTGCCAGACTGAGCCGCATTCTCCCAGGGCCGAGGCTCGTTTATCTCTAGCCATTTTTGACCAAACAGAAGCTGGAGATGCTTATTCATCATATTCTCTCAGTCGAAGGAGCTTCTAACCCGCAAGGATGCATGCACGCACCGCACGGCAAGGTTTATGAAGTGGCCGTTCTGTCTGGTGTTTTTCCCCCAACACAGATGACTTCGTGATAAAGAAAACTCGTCTCCGGAGATTTACCTAGCAAGCCAGCGCTCCACTTCATTTTGCGTTTCCTCTTTCCCTTGATGTTTGAGACGCAGGCTGTACAGGGCCCCGCTGGGCGGCAGGTAATAATAGCCACACGGCGACCGGCCCTCCGCTGCCCAGCCCCGAAATAGAGTCTTCAGTGAGAGAACAATGGTGTTGTCATTTACCGAGCTGTATGGGAAGCAGGGATCGGAGCTGAAGACATAAAAAGACTTATGAGTCAGTGGACTCCAATTTAGCCTTGGTAGTAGTGCGAGGCCTATTATTAGGTCCATTTTGAGGGGAAATTGTATTGTTAGGGAAGGAAGAGGCCTGTGCATTTTTTAGAGCCCTGGTGATAAAGTGCCTGGTGATAGGGACCTCTTCTTAGGCCATTCCCCCTCCTCTCCCCCTCAAGTCCCCGGCTGACCTAGACGCCCCTGAAGGTCCCCAAGCCGCCCTGGCAGTTCTATCCACCCCCCAGGTGAGGCAGGAAGAGTTTCTGGGCTGAGGGTGTTGACGAGTCCGTGCTCAGAGCCCCGGCTGCTGCGACACTTACTCCCCACTCTCTCGGCCGCCAGCGTGGCCGGGACTCTGCCCTTGACCTCTCCTCGTCCTCCACGCTCTTCACGGGAGTTGTGTCTGTTCCTGGGGCTTCCACTCCCGCCTGCACGCTGCAGCCTCCGCCTCTCCGTCACGGCGTTTGGCCCCGACACATACACTGTCCACAGATTCTCTTCCCGCGTCCCAGGGGCCTCACCACCCCGCCACGCACCCTCCGTCCTCCCCGCACACGTTCCGTGCCTATGTTGGCAGGCGTCTCCCGTAGTCACTGGGGAGACAGGGGTTCTGTTCTACTTAAGTAAGTGTTCCTCTGTTTAATTTTTCAGGGTCCCTATTTTAGTTTACTAGCCAGTAACTGTTGGGATCCCTGAAGTCTGCACTATCAGCTACGGGTCTTCTCTTCACCCCCAAGATTATTCATTAATACGGTTTCTATTTTGTGGCGATAATTTTCAAATATTCATACCTGGTGCCAACTATCTTACCTGCCTCGTTTGGTACGTGGACTTAGATGTTTCTCTAGCTCCTTAAATAAACATCTGCTGTGGCTTTAGCTCCTGGATCTCTAAAATGCACAAGTGAATGGAGAGATAATTTAGTAAGTTACAGGGTATCAATGCAATACAGTTTTAAAGTTGACTTATTCTGAGAGAGAGAGAAAGAGAGAGAGAGAGAGAGAGGAAGAGAGAAAATCT